CCACAATTTTCTGAATACAAAAATGCCGTCGAAAGTTATAAAAGTAGAAAAATTTTTGAGATATATTTAATTTTCTATATAATATGGAATTGACAATATCTCAAAAACTGCTCTACTTTCATACCTTTTAATGAAATTTTCGGTTTCAGCGAGCAATTTTATATGGGATTTAACTGTTAAATGTCCGGGATAGAAATTGATGTGGACTGCAGCTATTAGTGGCTACTCTTTCGCTATGACAACTAGTCATTTTTGACTAATTTATTTTAAAACAGCGTGTAGCTAAGGGTCATAACTAAAGAAAAATAAATTATACACATTCATAAAGTTTTTCCCTTTAAAAATCATGTTTTAACGAAATAAGATTTTGGCCAATATTTTAAAATAATTGAACACAATAAAGAAAATAAATAAATCTTCAAAATCTTGTAAATTTCATTAAAATCTGAAAAAAATTGTTTTTGTTACAATATTTTGGCTAGAAGACGATTTTAATTTGTTTTTTTCCCAATATCTTAAAAAAGAGCAAATTTGGAATCAGCACACCCAAATTATCCTAGATATGTTGTTGGCCATCATGTGCCAAAATTGCTGTTGACCAGTGTTGATTTACAAATAAAGTAATTGGGGCTTAAGTTTAAAGTAGTTTTTCCAAAAGTTATAACAATAGGTACTAAATTTAAGTAGTTGGTCTAATAAAAATAATTTAATCCCGGCGCATTCGCCATTTTTGAGAACGTATTCGTATGTTTTAAATTTCCATAAAAGTATCTAATTCTAAGTATTTTTTGGTTTATTCCTTTTAAATAATTAATAATTTAAGTAATTAGAAGAATATGTTTTTAATATAAAACTTTCGAGATTTTCTAGTATTAAATTAATTTTAAATTTGCTCCAAACAACACTTCAAAAAGTTTTAGATAAATCGGGAAACATTACTTAGAAATTCAAAAGATCACTAACAACCAAAAGGAAGTTTCATAAATTTAATTAAACTTGGCCGACCTTTCTTGCAAAATTATATCTATCTTTAATTATATAAACTATCTATAATTTAAATTAATGTCATCTTTTCTGATTATAAAAGTATTAGTTTTCTTATTATTTAGTTGCATAAACTCTTAAGGACAATTTTGAATAAAATAATATTTTATATACAAAATTTTAACCAAATTATTATATTAATTAAAACTTTAGTGGAAAAATGTATTTGTAGGTTATACAATTAACAGTGTATAGACTGATATCAGAAAAAGTAATTTAGACGAGATCATGAATAAAACATGATCAAATAATCTTTTAATCTAAAAAATAGGGTGGTATTTCAATGTGGTAACGTAGGTTAAACCCGAAGTTGTATTCAAACTAATTTGGAAAAACTAATTTGATTTTAAGACCGGAAAAAGTCGTAAAAGGAAAACCATGAAGGGTCACTATCGATTTATCGTATCAAGAGATCCTTGACTTAAATATTATCACGCCAGTCTTTTAAGTTTCCAAGTGGAAATAATGCACATTTACCCGTTCCAACGGCTTTTTATTGCTTGGTTTCTAAGGGAGAATGCCTAAAGGTCATAAATAAATTACCTTGACATTAAAGGAAATACAATTATTAGTTGTTATAATAATTATATTAAATGACCATTAATGCTACACCTTAACATAAATTTATACGATCTATAACTTTTTGTATGTGTGTAATGACACATTTTCGTATAATAGTTTATAAAAAAATCAATATTTGATCTTGTATCAAATATGTAATATACTCGTAGCAAGTAATTTAACTTGTACCTACTTTTTCGTAAATTACATTTTCTATTTTTAGTAAGTAGTAGTAAAAATGTCATTAAAAAAGAAATGTTTTATTTAAGTACAGTATTGATTTTCAGGTAATAAAAAACAACCTGCAAATATTGATTTATCCTATAAATTCCCAATACAATACATCCAGTTTTAACCACATTTTTTAATTAACTAAAGTTAATACAAAGTGGGAATATTAAAATTGTATTCAAAATAGGTCAGTTATTTTTTAATTAAGTTTTTAAAATAGAAAATATGTGATTATAAGTGTCAAGTTTGTATTTATTGTGGTTGTATTAAGAGTAAACCTATACAGTATATAGTTTACACGGAGAGAACTCTCCGAAACCTTCCAAAATAAGGGATTATGGGAGTGGGTTAAACGTATAAAACACAAAAAGTTTATAACAAACAATAATGATATTTATTTGGATAAAGCAACAACAGTAACCGAAACCCAAACGACATTTAACTTATTTTTTTTTAAAGAGAACTCTAAAAGAAAGGGACATTCTACAAACCCTTAAAATCACAAATCTTCTTACTCCTACCAGAACCCAAATAAATAAATATATAAATACTATTAGATAAATAATACTTTAAGTAGAGAGTAGGTTGCTCTCGTGTTGATGGTCCTTGTTTTAATTTTTAGTTTGTTTGTTTGTTTGTGGGAAAAAGTGGATTGAGTCTTAGTCTCTATTTTTGTATTTTAAATGTAACTTTATCCTTCAAGAATTTTATATCCGTCCTCCGAACAAAGTTTTTATAATTATTAAATGTTGAATTTTATTTTACTGTTACACGATTATTCATATATTATTTATTAGAGTTCAGACTCAACCAACTGTTAGAATAAGGAGTAAATAAATAATCGGCTTCAAAGTTATTCCAATTGAGGGTCCGCAATTGCCCATTATGCCTCATTTGTAGACAAACCTTAATAATTACCATAAAATACTGGGTAATAATTTGACCAAATAACAAAAGGCAATGTCTGCGCTGCGCATTCAAATAAATCCAGACCTTTACGCACCTCTTAAAATTTACAGGATAGTAATTTAAAATGGGCTTATGTCAGGAGACCGCGGACAGTGGTTATAAATTAAATCTGTGGGTAAAAGGCATAAGGGGGTAAGTCAAACAAAGCAATTTTTCAATAGAGCCTTTAACGTGTTTGCATTAATTCAGGAAATATATTTATGTTTAGCGGGTATACGCTTTTGTTAGCATATGACATGTGCTAACAAAAGGGTATACCCGCTAACCATAAATATGTTTCCTGAATTAATGCGAATGCGTTTAAGGCTCTACTGAAAAATTGCTTTTTTTGACTTATCCCCTTATGCCTTTTACCCACAGAAATGTCGCTATCGCACAATCAATGTTAATACTCACTCCAAATGTAATACCAAATAATTAAATATGATTGGTAAAAATCACTTAACTAATTACGGGACATAAATAAGAATCTGAAAGGCCTTTCTCTACACAGAAAAAAATCTAACATAGTACCAAGAATAGCGCTGTCATTGAATGCATTAAAATTGAAGCAATCTAAATTGTTATTTGCTCAATTAATTACTATTAAACCAAAATAAGGAAATATTTTGCCTAAATGTCAAAGAATTTATTTCGTTAAATATATACATAGTATACATACAATACTAACGTTATTAAATAAATCAAATTAGTATTTAATGCAATAACATTCTAACATTCTAACAAATAAATATCAATATGAATATCAATAGATTTGGGAACGATAACTTTTGTTGTTAATATAAAAACAGTAAACGATTATAAACCAATTGGTATTATAGGAACTGTTATTCAAGAATACGGATTACAAGGTCCCATTGGTTTAATGGCTCACCCATTCATGCTATGCTAGCGTTTTTTCTGTGTAATAATGGGCTACAATAAAACTCCTGTGTTTATTTAATTTACACAAACGTGTTAAGTCTGATTATTTTTTAAAAAAGTCTCCCGCCATATTGACTCACTCCATCATATTTCTGTAAAATTTGAATTCAAATTGAATCGGTGAGAATAAGAACAGTACAAGTCCAAAAATTTAATTTTGACAAGTCATTGTCTAAAATCAATTTTAAAATATATTTTTTTCTACGACCACTATAGTAAAAGTCACTTTTCATGATGGCATCGTTGCTTAGAAAATGAATCTTTTCATTGGCAAGGCAAAACACGAATGTAAAGTGACATTTCTGTGTGAAAAGTGACAGGTCTGTGTAAAAAGAAATTGACAGCATCGTTTGACATTCAGCTGTCAAAAAAGTTTTTAGATTATTTTGTTTTGTATTTAAAAATAATAAAAAATAAAAGGGTCGCAGAAAAAACATTGTGTTATACTTGTGAGAAAAGCTTTCTTCAAGCTCGTGTTATTGCACACTCGGCCTAACGGCCTTGTGGGCAACTTAAAAACTCGCATGAAAAAGTCGCTTTTCAACACTTGTAAAACAAATAACTATTGTAAGAAGATATAAATCATTTTACAAAATATAAATATTATTTTTTATAAAACCGTAAAATATTTTCACAAAAATGCATTTAGAACTGCAAAACTGATTTTTTGAAATATTTTGTCAAAATTTTTACTTTTGCACTTGTACTGTTTTTTAATCTCACCGATTCAATTCTAAATCACATTTATATATTTATATTTCAAAAATTTTGTAAAAATCCACTGTGCCTTGCATAACCCTTAATAACTTTTTTCTACTTTACTATTATCACTTTTATCTATGGAATGACATATATTCCGTAAAGTGTTACAGAATGAAATATTCTATCATCCTATGACAGAATAAACACTCGTGGCGACATCTCTGTTTTTAATATCTAACAAATTTTAGACCGATCCAATCTCACTTTCTTCCAATCAAATGACTTTTCTATGGTATTTTTTGGAAACGTAGAAAAAGTATAGTCTGAAACACGTTTGGAACTGCATATTTCGCTCTCGTATATATGCTGTATTCCAAACTTGTTACAGAATATACTATTACCAAACGGTAAAAAATTCCTGATGTAATTTAATTTTGTGGTTGCAGATCAGAATGACTTCAGTAGAGGAACATCAGGCGCATCAGCAGCAGCAGTGCGTAGGTGACGATAGTGGCGGATGAGGAGTCTTTAGCACGGCTAGCAGCGCGAGTCCCGGCCAGCCGCCGTCCATGGTGGGCGACAGGGATGGCGAAGGACTGGCCGTGCGCTGGGACGATGCATCCGCGGCGGCCGCGGCCTCGGCGGCGGCACAGGAACAGTCGCAAGTCCAAAACCAGGCCACCGGAACCCCATCGATGGAAGTGTCGGACGCCAGAGGCTACCGGTACACGTCGTTGCCGCAGATGTCGCCGCCGCAGCAGCCGCCGTTCTCCAGCCCCTCGCAGATGCTGCAGCAGTCGGCGCCCCAGCTGCAGCCTCTCCCGCCACCCCTGCCTCTACCTCTACAACTCCAGAGACCTTACTCCAGGTACGTTACATTAACTACTAGTTCTCAACCCAAACCCTTCAGATGGCGTTCTAAGTTTCTAAGAAAAACTCTCATAAAATATATACCCGGTCTTTAAATATAAACAGTTTAATTAAAATAAAACATAAAATTACCAAATCTAGATCTTTTAAGGTATTTTTTCGAGGAAATAAAGGGTTTTTCATTAAGAGTGATGGATCTTTTTTTGACGTACGTATTCTACAAAGCTTGTCATTTTATAATGGACCGATATACAAGTGCTCAAAGCACGAGTTATATTTAGTGAGAAAATATGACATTTGAAATTAAAATGTGCTTTAAAATATAAAAAGACTTTAATAAACCTTATGTATTCAAACTTACCTTAATTTTATTATCGTTTACACCAACCCATCGATCTTTTAGAGTTTATAATTCATTATTTTAATCATTTAACAGACACAGTATTTAAATATCAACAAATGTCAAATCAAGAGAAGTGTCAAAATCCTTAGCAACGTGTAAGCAAGGTGATAAAAAATATTGTCACCCATAATATAACAAGTGGTATGATTATCATCGATGATATTTTCGAATTGAAACCGAGCTGCAGATTTCACGAGTCCGCAGGACGAGTGAAATGTGCTGCTTCGGTTTCAATGAGTAAATATCTTCGATTATTAATCATACCACGAGTTATATTTACTGAGAAAATATAATGAATTTTAGGAATTAAAAAATTTGTCAGATTGACATTTAAAATTAAAATGTGCTTTAAAATATAAAAAGACTTTAATAAACCTTATTTATTCAAACTTACCTTAATTTCATTATCGTTTACACCAACCCATCGATCTTTTAGAGTTTATAATTCATTATTTTATTGATATATATTAAATACAGAATTTAAATGACAACAGATGTTAAATCAAAAAAAGTGTCAAAATTCTTAGTAACGTGTAAACAAGATGATAAAAATTATTGCCGCTGTGATAAAATACGTCACTATGGAATACTGGCATTTTATTGGTTCTAATATTAATGAATTGTATTGTCGCTGTCATAAAATGCGTAACCATGGAATACTGGCAATTTCTTGGTTCTAATTATAATGAATTGTATTGTCAAAATAACAGTTCCCGGCGACCAACGTTCCGTGCGTTACGCGAATTGTATGATATTCATCATCGACCAACAAAAGCCACCATTCGAGGAATTGTGACAAAATTTGAGACAACCGGATCTGTTACGAATTTTACAACACCTGTTGGGCGTCGTCGTAACGCCCGGTCAGTTGAGAATGTTGCTGCTGTTAAAGAAAGAATGCGTGAGAATCCCAAACTCTCAATTTCCCGACGTTCGCAAGAATTGGGCCTTTTCCAGTCAGCTTGACGAATCTTGCGCAAACACTTGTGATCCAATTGACCCAAGAGCTCAAGCCAAACAATCATTTGCTAATTAGGCTCTAGAGCATTTGGAAGCAGACCCTGAATTCGGCCAGAAAATCATTTTGAGCGATGAGGCCTATTTTTGGTTTAATGGAATCATTAATAAACAAAACTATCTAATTTGGGGTGAAAAAAACCCACAAAGGATCGAAGAGCGTCAACTGCATCCAGAAAAGATTACTGTGGATTTTGGTTGGCTGCGTCATCGGTCCTTATTTCTTTGAAGATGAACAAGGCAGAGCATTGACGGTCAACGGAGGAAGGTACCGAAAGAAGATACGGGATTTGTTTTGGCCTCGATTCAACAGGATGGCGCCACTTAACATACAACACGTGAAACACTGGACTTTATACCATAAAAATTTCCTGGGTCTGTAATTTTAATTGTTTTGTTTTAATGTGGTCTTACTCCTTTGGATTTTTTTCTATGGGGGTATGTAAAGAGTCTGGTGTACGCAAATAAGCCCCGAACCATTGAAGCACTCAGAGACAATATCCGACACCACATTAGCGAAATAAACTCCGATCTCTGCCATAAAGTAATCCAAAATTGTGTTTCTCGAATGAACACCACCCATCGAAGTCGCGAAGGCCATTTGCCAGATGTTATTTTCCATACATAATGTCATAATATGTTCTTTAATCTAAAAGTAAAACAAAGTCGTAGCTTTTTTTGCACCTTGTTCAATTCCACTTAAAATATCTATCACTCTTATTAAAAAACCCTATTTATTGTAAGCGTACAACACCCCCAGCAAAGAATCTGTAAAAGTTACACCCCAAGTGATAAATGAAATATAACACCACGGCAAATGTTATATTAAATTACGACAAATAAATAAAATAAATACTTAATATTTATTAGAGTTCAGACTCAATCAACTGTAAGAAAAATGAGTAAATAATTTATCAGGCTCGAGTTTGCTTCAACTGAGGGTTCGCAATTGTCTATTATGCCTCATTTGTCGGCAAACTTAAATAAATTAATGATTACCATAAAATACTAGGTAATCAAAATGACACAAATAACAAAAACAATGTCTGCGTCGCGCAGTCAGATGAAACCAGACCGGCCGGCACCTAATAAAATTTACAGGATAGTAATTCAAAATGGGCTTGTTGTATCAGGACTCCACGAACAGTGGTGATAAATTAAATGTCGCTATCGCACAATTACCGTTGCTACTCACCCCAAACGTAATACCAAATAAATTAATATGACTGGAAAAATCACTAATTATGGGACATAAATGTGAATCTGCGAGTACAATTTAATAAATCCCGTATTCAAGAAAATATATATCGATTACACTTAATTTACACAGCCTTTATGGTAAATCCCCTTTCAGAAATATTTATTAAAATAATTACAATCCTGACATTTAGCTAAATAAAATTTAATACGACCCTGCCCATTAAATTAGATGAAATCCGTACAACCCTGCTCTTTTAAATAGATAAAATCAAGTACCAATTGTTTATTATTTAGAATCTAAATTTTAACACGAGATAGTTCAAACGTAAATTTATTTCATGTCGATTACGAGCGTGGTTTATAAAAACGGTAGCCATCTCTCTAAAAACGACTAATTTAATAGTTATTAGTGGCTGCTTTTTCACTTGTACTCTGGTTAACCATGGAATACCATGGTATTTAAAAATTTAACAGCTAATTATTATGTAAAATTGTCCCCTGAATCCGAATATGTCGTAAAAATTTAAAAAAGTAGAACAGTTTTTGAGATATAGTCAATTTTTCAAGTAATATGGAATTGACTATATTTCAAAAACTGCTCCACTTTCATAATTTTTGACGGTATTTTCGGATTCAGGGGATAATTTTACATAAGAATTGGATGTTAAATTTTTTGATACCATGGTATTCCATGGTTAACCATGGAACAAGTGAAAAAGCAGCCACTTATAACTATCAAATTAGTCATTTTTGATTAATTAATTTTTAGAGAGATCATGGCGGAATAGATCGATCTATGACTAAGTCAAATGATCGAATATTTATCTTTACAAAAGGCATTTGTGTAAACTAATTATACCAAAATGTTCGAGAATATTTATACTACAATAATTTAGTTATTTAAAGTGTACAAACCAACAAATTTAAACACGTTCACCAAATTCACACCTCTTGTTCGCCGCACGGGTTCTTCTTGAATGATCTCCGCTCTTCCCTGCCCGACTAGAATGCCGTATTCTTCCCCCCTTACTTTTCCCACCTAAAACAGGAGTGCCCGTCTACCCAATCGTTCGGCACTCGTTACGTCAAATACATTTTTACTTCGGATCGTAATAACCCACGGATTGTTTAGTAGGGGGGTGTTTGCAGATTTCCTCATTATACAACCTTTAAACTTTTTGTCTTCAGTTAAGAATTTCAATTTGCGATTGTATAACAAGCTTCGTTTTTTTTGTAAAACAGATCCATGTCCTCCTTGCCGCCGGAGCCGTTCATGATCATGCGATCCAAGGCGTTGAATCGCAGGGTCGTGATCAACGTCGGCGGCGTGAAGCACGAGGTCCTCTGGCGCACGCTAGATCGGCTGCCGCACACCCGGCTGGGCAGGCTGAGGGACTGCAACACGCACGAGGCGCTCAGCGAACTTTGCGACGACTACTCGCTCATCGACAACGAGTACTTCTTCGACCGGCACCCCAAGTCCTTCAGCTCCATCCTCAACTTCTATCGCACGGGCAAGCTGCATCTGGTCGACGAGATGTGCGTGCTGGCGTTCAGCGACGATCTCGAGTACTGGGGCGTGGACGAGCTGTACCTGGAGTCGTGCTGCCAGCACAAGTACCACCAGCGGAAGGAGCACGTGCACGAGGAGATGCGGAAGGAGGCGGAGTCGCTGCGGCAACGCGACGAGGAGGAGTTCGGCGAGGATAAGTGTTCGCAATATCAAAAGTGGCTGTGGGACATGCTCGAGAAACCAACTACCTCTATCGCTGCCAGGGTAAATCACATGCACCCTTATTTTACCATTTTTCTCTGTACTATCTAGGTTTAATGCTTCTTGATAGAATGAAGTAACAGTTACATTAATATGAATGCTAATATTAAACAATTTAGACAAATTTTAGTAGAAACGAATACGTTAGTTATTTTATCTAATAATTATTACACAGGCCGATAAAAATAAAATAACTTTTTAAGGGTAATTTAGGTACGCTGAATCCAAAAATGAACACCATTTTGCTTAATCAGCTTTTGTTTTTGAGATAATAAAGTAGATTAATAGAGCTACAAATAGGGTAAATTTTATTTAAATCGGGCAAAAATTGATCATGCTGTATCACTTTGAAGTTTAAAAATATCCGAATTTTGGCTAAAAAATCAATTTTCTTTCGGTGAAACAAGATATTTAACATTACCAACTTTTTTTACTTAATTTAGAAGTTTAAAAAAAATATACTTAACCATTTGAATGTGCGAATATAAAAAAATGGTTTTTTGTCTACATCGCAAAAACAAGAGCTGATTGAGCAAAATGATGGTCATTTTTGGATTCGGCGTACTCAAATTACCCTAAAAAAGTTGTTGTCTACCCTGCACCAAAATGGCTGTCGGCCAGTGTTATTAATTATTATTTTTAGAAGCATTGACGTTTTTAGAATACGATATTAGAAGGGAACGTCCAATAGTTTTCAGGAAAAAAAGGAAGGCTGTTAGATTCAATAACCAAATAGTATTCAAAAAGTAAATTAACCAATTAAATGCTTGTTTTAGTTTTAAAATACTATTCTTTATTTCTCTATATGTTATAAACGTTTGGATTTTCTAAACCTAAAACTAACATAAAATTCACACTAAAAATAAATTATATAACAAAATATCACCTACTCGCTGCGCCTGTGAGCTGGATAGGTTAATGGCGTTACTACACTACTTTACTTTTTTTTTTTTATCACCTACTCGTACATTATTATACTCAGTAAAACCTGCCGAGATTTATATATCCTAGGCGAAATTTTTTAACATACTCAGTGGTAACGTAAATTTCAGCAATACCCAATAGAGTGGGTCCAATATCCGCTTTTTTAATTGTTCTGGTAATAGCAAAAATATTAATCTGTGGGGCAAATGAAATTATGTGCTAAGGGAAAAAAATGTTGGTTTAGGCTAGGCACTTACAATTGAGAGTAAAAAAATAATGTTTTATGAAATATGATAGTCCTTTTTAATTATTATTATAAAATAAAAATGAAATGATAAATTCGCAATTATATCTGGAACTACAATAAGCGAATATTTCACTCATGCCGAAAATTCAAAAACCATAGTGGTAAATTACTTAACATTTATTGAACCAATCAAAACTCTTATTTACATAGCCACCACCTTGGTAACTTGTGTCTTACCAGGTAAGATCCTTTTCTAACTCGATTAGACCACGTTGCATTGACAATGGTTTGTTTGTATAGATTCGCTTGTCACACATTTCCTGGATTTATTATAAATTAAAATGAAAATGAATCGTTCAGTAAATTAACCAATAAAATATACCTTAGATAGAGCTTCATAAACAGTAAACAAATATTTGATTATTTTAACCAAATAATAACCAGATTTTATGTTAATCCAGGTCCAAATAACATAACAAATCTGATTTTTATAACAGTGTACCTCTATTACTCACTGGAAACTCGTTTTTCAGAAAATTTCTACAAAATGGTATTGTCATTTTGTTTCAATAATTTACCATTTTTTGTATTTTTATTTGGTATTTTACTCCCTAAATACCGCTTAAAAATGTACCAGATAATTTGTATTCAAGCTTGTTGTGCAAATTTCTCTCGTTCTTAGTTATAACTTGTGGAATTATAAACAACTGCGCTTTCATAACAATTATTGGTAATTTTTATGCTAGTCGAATCACTCACCTTTTTTGTAGACGATATCATTTATTGACAAAATTATCAAAACATAAATTTTTACTTATAAAAAAACATTTTTATACTAGTTTTAAGTACCTAAAATGTGGACTAACAATGTTTTCCCTTTGCACATAATTTTTTTTAATTCAAAGATTAATTTTTTTGCTATTACTAAATTAATTTGAAAAAAACCGAATATTCGTTCCACTCTGATACCAAATTTGTGAGAGCGTTAATAATAAATTAAAATTGCTTTCTGCATGTTTTCTTGTTATGTTTTTTGTACATAATAATTTAATGTAAATAAAAAAGTATTTTCCATTTATGTATTCATGATCAATATGCCGACATACATTTTTTACATAATTTAACGTTCTAACTTAACTTTTTATCAATGAATATCATTGAGTAAAAAAAGTTAAGAATGAAATTTGCAATACTGTAAATTGCCTTATTTGTGTCTTTGTATTGGTGTTTGAAATGTTAACCTTAGTTCGGGAGTCAACACTTCAAATACTGTTTAACCCACCAGCGAACTGTTCCAGATAATTAACAACCCAAATGGATGATGGAGATTCGATGTTGTTTTTTTTTAATTTTATCTAAATGTGAAGCCTTCTAAATTTTTTTATTTTTTTTTATTTTTACGATAGTAATGGGCAATACGTGACGACCAATTTTCGCATATCGAGTCCTAAATGTCATGTCTTTCAAATTCTCGTCTTCTTTGGTGCTATGCGACGTCGCCTCTCGTACTTATTTTGTTATTTTTTTAATTAATTTTAAAGTAGATGCGTTTGCGAAAGCGAGTATATCAGTTGTGTTGTATTTTTTAACATTTTTTAAATTAGTTTTTTATAGAATAAAAACCCAATTTTAAAATATTAAAAAATAAATTTCACTCGAAAAAAAAAAACGCTAGTCCTGAAGCAAAGAAAAATTTGAAATGGTTACCGAATGTTGTTAATTAATATATTCATGTACCTACTAACAAACCCAAACACAAAACAAAATTTAAATTTTACACAAATTACAGAAAATAATAATTATGTTTTTATTAATTATAAGTATGCCTATTTTAGATTAGTCTTTTGCACTTTTAACTATTCAAAGCACTTTTTCAATTTTAATAATAACACATTTTTGGAACTAAACAATAATTTAACAATTATGGAAAAATTTTGTTTAACAATACCGGATGTAAATAATAATAGGTGTAATTATATACTAACCAAAATGTTTTGCACTTTTTAAGGCAATGTTATTTTATTTAACAAAACATAAGATTTTTTACAATATTTTTTTTATTTAATTATTATCTTAGGTAAATTGGTATAATTTTTAACGATGTATAAATTTTTTTAAATTTGCTGTCAATTGTTTTTGAATACACTGCCCGTTAAAATTAAGGCATATTAATTAAAAAAAACTCTAAAACGCCCTTACCAATCTTTATAAAATTTTGGATAAAAATACTTTAACTTATATCTCAGTTTACGTGTTCAAGGGTTTTTCGAGAAAATATTCTTGAAGCCCTTTTATTTAATAATAAAAAAACGCTTAAAAAACTTATTTAGGGAATTTTTTTTAAGTAAATAAAAAATATGCTGTGAAATACCATATTTTTGTAAGTACCTATACATTGAAAATGTACAAATCAAACGAACAGTAACGAAAATACAGCGCTTTAAAGTCGTCAAAAATGACCACTTTTCAGCAAAATAATCAAAAAGGTATACTAACAAAAATAGGGTATTTAACAGCATATTTTTTATTTACTTAAAAAACATACCCTATTTATTATTTTTTAAACGTTTTTTTATTAATTAATAAAAGGACTTTAAAAATATTTTTTCGAAAAACCCTCGAACACTTAAACTGAGATATAAGCTAAAGTATTTTTATACAAAATTTCATAAAGATTAGTAAAGGCGTTTTAGAGTAATTTTTTTACTTATTATTCGTTAATTTTTACGCACAATGTATAACATATTTTTTTAAATTTAATTTAAATTTACTGTAAAATGATTGTTATTAAAAACCAAATTCTTTAATTTTTAATAGAAAATAGTATATTAAAGTACAAGTTGCAGAAGACCACATATTCTCGCACGAATTCGAAATTTGGCCTCGAGCGACGAAGGAGCGAGTGGACGAACGAATGAGTGCGAGAATAGCCTTCTGCAACGTGTGATTTATACTATTTTCTCGATTTTAACTTTTATTTAGGTTTTTTTAATTGTTTTGTGGTCGTTGTTAGTTAGGGGATTTTTCTCGCAAAATGTCAGTTGGCAACACTAAATGACAATATTTGTTATCCTGCACAAGTACAACCTGAACTGCACTTTTACACATTAAACTTAAAATTTTGCATTAAAATGCATTGTTGGAGCAAACTTTATATTACAAAACAATAATAAAGGCTTCATTTTCAATAAAAAGTAATGAATTTGAGGTTATTAATCAGTTTGACATTTTGGGGGTACCAATACTTAAAAACTAAATGTTACCAAAAATCGTTTAAGAATGAGCTTCATTCTTCAACGATTTTGCGTGCGAGAATATGACATTCTTACATAAAAATCGAGAAAAGCTTTTTTCGGAAAATACTGACGCTAAAGTACCCAAAAAAGTGTTTTTGAACCCGATTTTTTTTACCGCAGAACTAATTAATCTACAAAATTTATATATTTTTTTTCTACGTTTCGGAGTTATGGCACAAATTGTAAACCAAAATAGCGTTATATCTATCTCTTTTTAACCTCAATTTTTTTTACGCAGCGCTGAATTAAAAAAAAAACAAACCTACAAAATACATAACAACTTTTTTTCTACAAAGGACCATTTATGAGTAGTCTGGAATATCAAGTAATGTATTAAGATTGAACAAAGTAAGATTTATGCTCTATAACTCCAAAACAGTTTATCGTAGGAAAAAAATGTAGTAAGAATTTTGTGGGCTTTTTTAACTCTCAATTAAATATTAATTAAAAAAATTCGGTAGTTTATCGTCAACTACTTTTTGCATATTTTGTCCTAGAGCATCTACCCAATTACATAAATTGGGGGAGACAATGCTCCTACATTTTTGGTTCAATAAATGTTCTTCTATAACTTAGGTACTGTCTTAAAGAAAAATTAGTCCACAGGGGGTAAGATTCTGCAAAGTTGGGGTTAACTTTTTCTGATAAGCCCGAAAAGATTCATACAAAACAATGTGAGGTCATTTTTTTCCGAAATTGTATACAAATTTATAAGAAAATGAACAAAACTTAAATTGAAATTTTTCTAAAAGCGGATTTTTATGTATACCTAAAATGTGCAAAACGATTTGAAAACATTATTATTTAATAAATTTAGGTGGATAAAATCAACTTATATTTAAATAATTCTAAATAAAAAGTTAAAAGGTATTAAATAATAAACTTAAATATTGATATGCACCTTTAAAATTCATTAAAGCTTTTTACCTATTAATAATAGAGTACCTATAGTTATCAAAGTTAATTAAAGGGTAGCTATTTGTAGATAGCAAGATATACTAACCATTTGAAATTGTAGACTTGTAGGCATATAATATTTACTCTATTTATTAGGAAAAGGGACTAGTAAGGTAAATTTATGCTAAAGTAATTAAGTAAATAAAAAGCGTCAGTAGTTGAAGTCTAGTCCCAGTTCCGATGTACATTTTACTTTAGACGCTTACTTTTCATCTTGACGTCAAATAGTTAGCCAATCTAGACAGTATTATGATTGACATAAGGGTTCGAGCTATATGTACTTTGCTTCCTATTTCGAAACCGTACGAATGCTTTTATCATACTAATACCATTATTCACTTATCATTATAACCCCGATACACATCTCCCTTATCCCCTGTGCTTTTTATTGCTAGCACTGTATCTTGTTTGTATGGCGCTTTACTAACTACATATAAGTACGCTAATTTATTTAATAACGCTTCAGCCGCTTATCCATCACGAAAACAAAACATATACATAAACAAAACAATGTCACCGACGCCGTTGGTCTACATGATGTGTGATTGTTTCAAATACATGTTTCTGTGATCGCTGTGAAAGCAATTTAATTATTGTTTGGAAAAAACAATTGCAAACACCTTTCTCTAATGGCTGTATACAGAAACAATTTTTAAGATTTGACGAACCATCACATTTTCATACTATTAACTTTTTGTAACATCCGTCATCATTGTATATTTAAAAATAAAACCGTTTGAAATAATTATTTATTAGGTAACTTTACGTTTTTTACATTTTTGAAGTTACGTTTAATACAATAAAATTATAGAATTTAGGTTTCCCAAAAAAGCAAAAAAGGGAGCAAGACCTAAATTGGTTAAGGAAAATTGCTGTAAATGGGTGAATAATATTCACTGAATATATTGAGATGTCCCCCAAGTGAAAATGATTTTTTATTTTTGGTTGTAACATAAGTGGTTCTGCACTAATGCAAGAATTTTAAGAAATCATACATTTTGAATATTAGAGCTTCACGGAAGATAGCTTCACGGATGTTAGGATTTCGTTTGTTTTTTTTAAACATCTCTTTGTATCTTTTGACACCTTAATATTTTTAAAAAATAAAATTGTGCATACATACAATATTTATAAAAAAAATCTACTTACTGAGATATTACACTTTACGGTGGATAGGTTTTTAAATAGCAAATTAATGAACTTAAACTTTTGAATTATAAAACAGCAACACTCTCATCTGCATATAAATTCTAACTGACCTTCAGGAATCACATGCATCTATAATGTCGTAAACAGAGGTTTTTGCTTATTTAAAATGATTAAAGCGGCATCCGTTGCATAAAATTTAAAGCAAAAACAGATTCACGGAGGATAGAGTCAATTTTTGTAACACCTACATAAATGGTTATAAAAATTATTTCTTTTAATTTTTAATAATATTCTTTATTTGATTTGATTGCTTTGGATGTGTTTAATTTACTTAGTGAACTGTTATTTTTAGTATGCTTTTACTACCTCAGAGATTTGAAAATATATAGGTTAACCTAAAAAGAGTAACAGTCACGGAGGATAGGTTTAAGACTTTTAAAACATTGTAAAAAATAATTAATTGCGGTTAAAAATCTGGAACCTGATCTGTAACATCTACTTAATTATGAAAGATCAAAACACAATGAAAGTGTAGGTCAAACTCATTTAGTTTTATTAAATATCACGGGGTAACACCATCGGGGGACATTTCCTGAGATTCACCCAAATGAGTTTAGAATCGTAAAAAAGTTTTGAATTTTACTGAACTTGTTGAGAAAATTATTTTTATTACAGCGATCGAACAATTGACAAATTTTAAATCGTCGTTTGAAAAAAAAAATAAAAAATCTAATGCAGCTAACGTTTTCCAGTGAAAGAAAGACACTTGAGACAAAAGGGATCAGCAAAACTGCCAATAGCTGCTAAACTTATCTTGCCTATATAAAAATCTGCCTTGAATTCCTAAATAAAGAAATTAACCCACTGAAAACAAATACACAGATGGGTTAACTTAAGTACTTACCGTCAGGAATTCGTCTGACAGGTTGTCAAAATAAAGTCTGCAGGTCTCCCGCAAAAATTTTTGATCTTGTCGGAATTATTACGGGCATAATCAACACACACCTTTACAAGATATTATTTATAATTCTCCTGGTCTTCTTGAGATAAGAAAGTCCAATGTTGGAAATAAATTTGTTTATACAACCGATATTAGCTCAATATCTCCCGCCTCCCTTCTGAAATTCTTTAGAAGCTTGCATGACTGGAGATCCATCGAGATGAGTAAGAATAACCAAGAAAAAGGACTTGGAGGTAGTAGAAAGTTCCAAATATGGCCCAAGTGCCTGTGAACATATTATGCCTACCGTCCACCATCCATCACATGACAAAAGCGTTAACTGCATTCGTCAATTTGCATCTGAGGGCTTGCGGAATTTCAGTTAACCTTTTAAAATTGTACCTCATTTATCAGTAACCGATTATGCTACGATTTCTAATACGAAAGGAAAAAATAGATAGATATATTGAAAAATTATATAAATCGAGTTTTCTTGTCATATGCACAATTTTTGATCATTCAGTGTTGTTAGATGTTACAAAAATTTACAATTTGATGGCCATTGAATCTTAAATATTGTTTTAGACACTACGACCATGTTGTAATGACTTTTGTAAAGCACCAATATTTAAATGTCTGTGTTGTTGTTGTACATAAATATCGATAGCAATACTTTTTTTAATTGTTCGTAAAGAATCTCGATGTTTGACGTATTTGCGGTGTGCTTGTGTACCTATGGCCCAAGTCACTGACCAAGTTATAATATTTTAGGTGATAGCCATCATATCCATCTTGTTTATTGTGCTGTCCACAATTGCACTTACACTGAACACCATTCCAAGCATGCAGGTAAATGACGAGAAGGGTAACATCCAGGACAATCCGCAGTTGGCGATGGTGGAAGCGGTGTGTATCACGTGGTTTTCGTTAGAGTACATTTTGCGGTTCAGCGCGTCGCCGAACAAGTGGAAGTTTTTCAAGGGAGGATTAAACATAATCGACTTATTAGCCATATTGCCTTATTTCGTTTCTCTGTTTCTCTTGGAGACCAACAAAAACGCAAACGACCAGTTCCAGGACGTGCGTCGCGTAGTCCAAGTTTTCCGTATTATGCGAATTCTTCGTATCTTGAAACTGGCGCGGCACTCTACGGGGCTGCAGTCGCTGGGGTTTACCCTTCGCAACTCGTACAAGGAGTTGGGTCTTCTTATGTTGTTCTTGGCGATGGGCGTTCTCATATTCTCGAGCCTCGCTTACTTCGCCGAGAAGGAGGAGCAAGGTACTAAGTTCATCAGCATTCCGGAGACGTTTTGGTGGGCCGGCATCACTATGACCACTGTCGGTTACGGTGATATTTATCCAACGACACCACTAGGGAAAGTTATAGGAAGTGTATGTTGTATTTGCGGTGTGTTGGTGATCGCGTTGCCCATTCCTATCATTGTTAATAATTTTGCCGAGTTTTATAAAAATCAAATGAGGAGAGAAAAGGCTTTAAAACGGCGCGAGGCCCTCGAACGAGCCAAGCGCGAGGGCAGCATCGTCTCTTTCCACCACATTAACCTAAGGGACGCCTTCGCCAAAAGCATGGACCTCATCGATGTCATCGTCGACACAGGTAAGTCCATGCCGCCTGCATTTTTTTTTTACAAAAATTGTATATTTAAATGCAATACTATAATGTTCTATTATATGGGGAATGTTTAGTTTAGTTAACCGTGTGTCTTGGTTTGCACCGCCACTAAGACGATATCTTGTTCTCCAGGTGACAAGTGTGCCCTTATTGGTGGAAACGAAGACAAACGCAGACTGTCATAAATAAACATTTATCAGTTCGCGGTGTCGGAGAAGCATGTTACACGCTTATGTTCAGTTCATATGCATTATATACTTATACTGTAGAGCACCTTGTTACACGAAAACGTAGATGGGTTTGGTTTCTCTTTAAACTGCTTTTCTTCGTTCTTAAATGTTGACTTGTGCGTTGTCTCGAGTGCACGGCAGTGTGTTGGTGCTGAGATCGAAATCAAAAATTGTGCTGACGATGACGATGTCTCGCTAGGACACAATATGTCGCACGCGGACGGCAACAGCACAGAGGGAGAGTCCGCCAGCGGCCGGAATCCCGCCCAGACGGGCACGGGTTGCTACCGCAACTTCGATCATTTACCGAACCGACCGAGGCGTAGTGACTCTTCCACGACTCCTTGTCTTCCGAGTGGCGACGGTCCGCCGCCGCAACCGGGCTCTCCCGGCTCCCAGGGGCGGCTCCTCGAACAAGCTCCTTCCGAAGAACAGTCTGAACCCTACCAGGAAAACGCTTCTTTTACCGCTCCGCTGGCCCAGGACGAAACGCAACTCCTACCTAGTTCACCCAAAGGATATATTTCTCCATCCTCGGTAAGTTCCCGTAATTATTTTTTACTTTAACAAAATGTGTTGCTGTCCTGTTTGAAAAATATATTTTTCGTGAAGATGTAGCCTTAATCTATAACTATGGCACGCGGTTTAAGCATTTATTAAATAATAGTTTGAAGAAATTTACAAAGTTAAATTTTTTGATTGATAGTCTAAAATTTTGTTAAACATAAAATAAAACTGTAAAAGTTTAAGCTTAAAAATATTGATTTTTTATTTTTTTTTTCAAATGTTTTATTCTACAAAATGTTTGGTTTAAATTTGTAAAGAGTCATTTAAATGATAGATAAATTTACAGAGAGACGGCGTCTCTTACTGGAGTGGTCAATTTTAAGCATGGTCTATAGTCGGTAAAACGTAAGTACAAATCGCGAAGTCTGCGGCAAATGCAGTCAGCTAAAGCCGCGTTTACACGTGAATTAAAATTATCGACTTCCATCGTAATGTGAATATGTTTTTGTTAAAAATGTATCAATTTAAATTTGTTAAAAATAAAAGTTTTGGTTTAAATTTCTCAAGAGTCATTTAAATGATAGTCGATACATTTTTAATTCAAAAATTACAACCTTAAAATTTAAAACTAACATTTAAATGTGAGAATTTTTGTATTAAACATGCATTTATCGACTATCATTTAAATGACTCTTTACAAATTTAAACTAATAATTTTGTAGAATAAAATATTAAAACTACAATATTTTAAACTTAAATTTTTACATTTGCATTTAATATTTAAAATATTTCTTGGATATCAATTGTTTTAAGATAAAAAAATTTAACTATTTTGATAGAAAATGTTTTATAAGTGTTTTTATTTTAAATGTCTCGACACTTTTTTTAAATACTAAAAAATTTAACTTTACCAATTAATTCTAAATAATTTTATTTAAAGTTTATTTAGGATTTACAAAATTCTGTTTATTAAAAAATGATAGTTAGAAATGTTTGCAAAAATTGATTGGAAATTATATTGTTTAATAAATAAATGAACTGTTAGTAAATTTTGTCTTTCAATACATGATAGTTAAAAATATTTTAAATTTATAAATGTAAACCTAAAACTTTTAGTTGGGAAAATGTTAAACCAATAAAATTTTAAATTAAAAAATTATTTAATAAATGTTAAAACTACATGCCACATATAACATTTTTGAATTCGAATTAAAGTTTTTTTTTTAACTAAATTTGGGTTGATGAATATTAAATAAATAAAAATGTACCCTTAAATGTAACAATCAAAATCACCAAAGTCGTAAATTTCAAATTTTAATAAAACGAAATAGGTACTTATTAAGTAAGAAGCAAAAGTTTTATAAAAAAGTTATATAATTCGAAAAATATAAAAAATTCCTTTAACAATAAGGCTGTTTTTTCGGTAAAAAAAATGTTCTATAGTAAGATAATTTTTCTTAGTAAAATCAACGCAACGTGGACAATCAGGCAATTTTGGACTCTGGTTTTTTACCATTATTTCTCTAGTTTTTTTAGACACTTTTTCCCCGCTGTATTGTTCTATTATAATACTCCCTTGCTGTTGTTTAAAAGTCGACACTACTTTTGCTGTTTGAAAATACGTCTTAACTTTGCTTATAGGAAAACTTTATTTTCATCAGTGCGTCTTTTGCTGCAGCATCCAACAAATATTCGAGATTTCGCATTGCCGAGTACGGTGCTTCTTAAGGCTATACCGGGTGTATCTGAGAATAGGCGCACCCTGTAACTTTTTTATTTAAAAAGATAGACTCATCAAATTTAGCGTGGTTAGTCAGGATATAAAATGCCACTTATTAGAGTACAAAATTAATTTTTTGAACTTGAAATGATACCAACTTTCGATTTTTAAATGGAATGCCCTATATATTTTTACATATTTGGAATCCTGAGAAAATTCTGAGTCAGACAGCATCGTCAAATTGACCTTTTGACGTTTCGTCATCAGAAAATGCATCATAATAAAGATCAATCTAGAGTGCTTTGAACTATTTGAGAAAAACGAATTTTGACAAGTTTAGACTGCTGGGAATAGCTGAATAACAACTTTCTAAGGCATGGAAACATTGCACTACTCGGAGACAATCTAATCCACCAGGAAATCATGATGTACAAAAACTTAAATTTGTCTTTCCGAGAAGCCAGTTAGTAGAGTAGATCTAGTCGATATTCTGATACCTTCATAATTTTAACTTTAACAGACACCTGAAGATAGTATCCTAGAAAGACAAAATTTTGTAGAATAAAAACTACAAAAAACTTTTTATGTAATTCTGGAAAAAAAAGATAAGAAAAAACTAAAACAAATGACATTAATGGTTTATAAGATACGTAACTTTAAATTTGGTACAAATATTATTTAGGTTATTATGGGCTTCAAGCTTCAGCAAACAACTTGATATTCGAAAAATTAGCATCATTTTTATTCAAACAGGTCCTACTGGGATGAAAAATATATTTAAAAAAAAGACACTATTTCTTGTCATAATGTATTGTTTAGACTGTTGGAGATAACTTATTTTTCTAATCCTACATTTTCACTTTCATAATTTATTATAATTGTATTTTAAATCAAATTTTCAATTTAACAACCATTGAAATAACTACTGTATCAAACAACAATTAAAATTATTCGTGTTATTATTGCATACTGTTAATTTGGTAAACTACAGTGCAGCTGTTAAATTTGTGCGATTCATAAGAGTTAGTCGTAACATTTAGCCGCGGCTGTAATAAACGTTTAGCAACCAAGACGCAAACATTTACAACTGGCATCGTTCATGAAATTTACCGCTCGTTAACATTAAATTATTGTTTGTTACCGTAATTATTCCGGCTTAAAACTGGAATAATCGATTTTAAATGCCGTAATTATCAGACCAATAAAAATAAATCACTGAATTATGAAATGTTTTGAGCGTGACCAGGAAATATTGAGATTATTTATCGGAGATTCCAAAATACTCGCTCGTTGTTAATCTGCTGAATTCTCAATTTATTGCATATTTTGCGCGTAATATGAATTATGTTTATCGTATCTACTTATAATTCAAAATCACCAAGGAAGAGAATTTCAAAATATAAAGTTCTTTAATTTAATTAAAGTAAATGAAAACAACTCAAAACAATCAAACGTCTGATATATCCCTATGTAATCGTACCGCCCACTCATTTGTTTTTAAAAAATATAAAAAAATGTATGCCAAATTTGAATGTCCTAACTTATTTTCTTCTATTTCTATTTCAAATAATTTAAGATTACCTAAAAGATATTTAGGGAGCACCAACATTAGGAAAGTACAAAATTACAATTATGTAAATAATGAAATTGATTTTTAGGTTGTTTTCGAAAATTTATTTTTAAAGAAAGTAACATGGTTAAAATTGCAAAAAAATAAACAAAATAAAACCCAGATAATTAGGTTTTTGGTATTTTAAAAATTGTTTACAACAGACTTTTTTGCGTCGGTAAATGCTTTTTAACAAATTGTTTCTGGTCTTCATTGTGTGTTATGATGGAGTTATACTCGTCAAATAAATGCACAGCTCTTTCGGCAGCATCGTTAACGATTCTCAGCTACAGTTTTTAAACCGTTTTGATAATTTTTGTCCTGAGGCCACATAGTCGGATCGATTTTCAAAAAAGTGTCAGAGTTTCGAAAAGCAATTTTTAAAATACCAAAAACCTAATTATCTGTTTTTTATTTTGTTAATTTTTTTGCAAATTTAACTATGTTTCTTTCTTACAAAATAAATTTTTCGAAAACAATCTAAAAATCAATTTCATTATTTACAAAATTACGTTTCAAAACGCACTAATTATGCATGCAAATTATCACTGATATTTTGTTTTTTATGCCATTTTCAATAAAATAACAATAATAACAATAATTGAATGAAGTAAAAAAGACCTTACTATGGACATACATGAATTCTTTTTTTTAATTTAAAACTACCATATTTTCCCCAAAAAGTTAGAATTATTCATTCATTATTAATGATTTTAAAAAATTATTGCTTTTTAAAGCAAAAATCCATTATATGAAAAACTGTAAGTTATAATCGAGCGAAGTAAAAAAGACCTTAGGATAAAAATACATGATTTCTTATTGGTTTGTTTTAAAGTAACTTATATCCTCATTTTCTCAAAAAATATACTTTTTCATAGATTAATAGTAATTTTAAAAAATTAATACATTAAAAGCAAAAATCCTCTATCTGGAAAACTTCTCGTTGTTACAGGCAATAGAAGGAAATAAGTTACGACATTCAAATTTGGCATACATTTTTTTTATATTCTTTAAAAACAAATGAGGGGGCGGCACGATTAAAATTTCGACATCGGTCAAATAAGAACCACCCTAATGTTTATATCATGATTAGGTAATGTCAATGCCTAACAAAGAAAAATACAATATATACAATGATGACTTGGTCTTTAAACATTTCAATGCATTTCAAAATACGAGACAACCTTTTTTATTTCGGAACCATTTTTATTTTCGGAAAACAAAAAATAACAAAAATGTCAATTTCATTTTTTGGATGAAATGAAGTCACTCTAAACGACAAAATTGTGCCTAGTAAGAAAACTTACCAAAAGGTCGAACCTAACTCTCTATCTCATCCGTTCTCCGACGACAGTCTTAGTATACCCACTAGGGTTGCATGTTATATTTCGCTTTCCCATTCTACCTCTTAAGCAAAACCTCTCGGTAAACAATATTTTTCAGAAAACAATGAATAGTCACTGTGGCACACCTGGCGAATTAGATGGATGGAGCAGTATTTTCAATTTTTTTAATGGTTATGCGAGTTTTGTGAGCTGGCCATTGTCTTGGAAAAACAGGATTTTATCTTTTCCAAATATTTAGGCAAAATCTTAATGCCTACGGTCTCACCAATCTCAAGAACTTCAGATGACACTCCTGGCCATTCGAATGTTCAGCATTATTTGTCAATATACCAACACGACAAACCCGTTCTTGGTGGTGAAATGTGCTGGTGTAAAGTCCGCCTAATGCTAAATCACTATTTAGCTTCAATGACATTTTCATATCAAAAACTACTGCTTAATCAAGACACCAAATTCCCCCATTTCCAAGATTTGAAAATGAATCTGTCACAAACTTTGCGATTTCATCAACAAAAGTAGTGTCGGATTCAAATTTGCCACCTTGGTGATTTTGACTCCCTAAAATGTTTATTATTTTTCCTTAACCTCAGCAATGCTTTATTAAAGAAATATATTTCAGCTCTGATCGATGCATATTATTAAATGTTTGATGTTTAAAACATATCGATTAACTGTTGTAATGGTTGTGTAGCTTATTATAAAAACTTTGTAATAACGGAATACCCAATTCGAACCCAGCCATGCCTAATAAGAATCGTAACAAATAAATGTAATCAATTTACATCAATATCAAGTTGCATTAATCATCATTTATTCGTTTTATTGATACAAAAAATAATTTTTTATTTATGATATTAAGTTTGCCTTCTAATAATCAATAATGCTTTACTATGACTGAAGATGCAACTTGATACAATCACTCTACACATGGTGCTATTTTGTAAAACTTTTGTAGGCTGGCAGCAAAAAATATGACAGAAAAAATAATGGGGGAAGAATTGAAAAACCTGAGGAATTACCTAGTGAATTTGAATGTTGTTTTTGCACCTCAAAGGTAGTACCTTACGTTCTAAATTTATTTCATTTAAATGCTTATTTCATTTAGCTTTAGATTTTTATCAAGCACTTTTTTGGAGGGATAATTTAACATTTTTTATACCTAGGCAGGCTAGTTTACATCCTTATAAGTGTGTCTTTTGTAAAAAATATTAAATTTTTTTAATGATTACTGCAAAAGTTGACATTAGGCTTTGTTATAAAAATTATTAATAAATATACAATTCTGAATAAGTATCCCTAGACAAGTAAAATACAACTTTGAATTTTTACAAATTTTTAGAGCATATTTTTTTGTTTATGTCAATTTTCCCAGTAAATATGATTTTATTATTGGAGACAAAATTTATGCCACTGCCTAGGTCCTTTAGTCCTTTAGTTGAGGTTAAAGCTTTACTTAACCGTTTAACTTAACTTACATTTCTTTTAAATATAAAATATTTTAATCAATACCCATACTGGCATATTTTTCACCCATAAACTTTATATTTCAATTGCAAAAAGAAAAAGTTATAATGGTGCATAAAATAAGCGATTCAAACACACATTTCTGTCATTTTATAACATTTAACAGCCATCATAAAATTTTTGCATGAAAAACACCTGCATGTCAGCCAGCATGAAACATGGATGTTGTATGTTTAGTATAGGTACATTTTTATATCTCGTAGTGAATGAAATGTATTTTTTATTAGAATTACGATGGTAGATACCGCGACAATAATGAAAGTTTATGCAAATTGTAGACATTTAAGTAACACGATTTTTATATTATTTTCATTAAATAAATTTATTAATTTTTTTAAATTTCATGGGTTTATAAAGCAATGGCATATCTATAGGAGAAATTGTCTTTAATGAACTAAAAATACTGTGTTTTTTAATTTTTAGAAAGTATATACATAAACATATATGATTTGATTATTTATTCATATAGGTACGTTTAATTTTTTCATTTATTTTTTGCTGAATAGCTATTTTAACTACCGCTTTTTCTATACTTTCAATAAGTAAACATATACAGGGTGTTTCTACTAAAAGTGGACAATGTAATATAGGTTGTAAATATTAAACTGACAATTAAATTTTTTGAAAATCCCGCCATAAATAACGAAGATAAATAGGTTTTTGTAAAAACAAAAAAAGGTCAATAACGTAATAGAGGTTGTAGATTCCATCAAGAATTCGTATATATGTATGTATATACGAGGTGTGTTCAACGGGAATTGTTAAATTTCGCAGGTTTGGAGGGTCCGGTTGTCATAAAATTTTCTTTAATATGTTGGTATGTATGCCCCCGAAGTATGATAAAAACTTTAGCTGTTTTCATTGTTTACTTTGTCTGTGGCAGCCGCTAAGGTTAGACGTGTTTTATGTGCTCGGCGATTTTTCGTTCGTTAAAAGAAATGGATCAAAGAATTTGTATCCAATTTTGCTTAAAAAATGAAATAAATTCTGTGAAATGTTAATAAAGGCCTATAGTGCGTCTGCTATAAGTAAAACAAGAGTTTACAAGTGGTATAAGAGTTTCCAAGATGGCCGTGAAGACGTTGAAGATGACGAACGCCCCGAACGCACAAGCGCATTAACAACCGATAAAAACATGGAAAAAGTGGAAGAAATGGTTATAAACCATCAGAGAAGTCTCTGATGATGTTGGTATATCGATTAGCACATCCCATGAAATTTTTTCGAATGTTTTGGGTATGAAACGCGTGGCAGCAAAATTTGTTCTAAAATTGTTAAATTTTGAACAAAATTTTTGGCCAAAAATTATACTAACACACCTCGTATTGTTAATCAACTACTTTAACAGAGGATCATAATGATTGGTCATTCCAAAACAAAATATTTGTTTGAAAAAAGTGTCTACACTTTTACAACATCTATTACGTTGTCCATTTTAAGTAAAAACACCCTATATGATCATTATTTTGAATTCTTTTTTGTCCTATTTTTTGTACATTTTTAATTTAGTGTTTATTTTGTAATTTTTTTTTTTCACTCAAACATATATGTACATATATATATATTTAATACAAAATTAAACAATTTCGTATTGGAAAATTTAATTTAATTTTAATGGAGTAAATTTTTTACTTAAACAATATTCAATAAAATTAATTATTTAATTTAATTAAAATAAACAAAAGGTTTTTAATGAAATAAACGACAAAACTAATTTAATTTGAAATATTTTACATTTTTCTTCATTGACCGTATCGTTTCTATGAAATACAAACGACACAAATATTTGCTCCATTAAAATTTTAATAATGTAAATTTATATAATACGATGTTCATTCTAAGTTTACATGTCACAAACATCTTTGCTTTGCTTAATGTAATGTAAACTTGGTTTGGATGACGGTCTATTTACGAGAACATTATACACACTAGTGTATTGGGGGTAATTTTTTGAACCACAAGTGAATAATATTTTGTATAAATTGATTGTTTTGTTTAAAGAATTTATAAACATTTTTATTACTATATCATAGTGGGGAAATCTAAAATTGTAAAAATTACGATGATTGCGATGCATCGTCTAAAAATATTTTTGTCTTTTAACATACAGGTTTTAGTGGCAAATAACTCCAAATAATGCTCCTGTCGGGAATTTTTTGATATCTTCTAAAATATAAAATTTACATTTTTCTAATTTGATATTGCTTTTTTCGACATCTTGCTTTGGTCAAAAGTTATTTAAAAATAAGATAAATTTTACACCAGAAATAAAAGGCTTTTTTAATTTGTAAACATCTATGCCGGGAAAAATTGAGATGTAAGATATAACGCGTTAGCAGTATTGCCGTTTCTACGGATAAATCCGTGGATTAACGGAACTTAGAACTTTGGTCTTCAACATTATGTCCTGTACCTTTTTACTGGATAGAGATTGTTTTTGGTGCCATTTTATAGGTCGTTAATAATACTTTAAGTTAACCAAATTTTAAAATATTGCAACTTTTAAAAGTTTACTTAATGGCCACCCTTGTTTTTTATAAAAATCCATACTCCCTTAAAATGAATCAAAAATGACTAATTATAAGTCATATTTGACTAATTGTCATGCCCAAAAAGCAGTCACTAATAATTAGTTTTTAAAAATGAAATAGTCAAAATTCTACTATTTGAATTAGTACCAGCATTTTTTAATAATAAAATAGTCGTTTTCACTTTTTAATGGTTATTTTTTTACTAGGTAAATACTAAAAGTTTGACTAATTTAATATTATTCACCATCTTTGACTATTTCTGAGAGTTTAAAGTAACTAATTTCTTTAATCGCTTGCGGCCAACAACAAAGAATTATTTGAAATAAATGCATATACCCAAGCTCCATGGTTAAATGACCCATAAAAACAAATAAAGATGGAAAAAGTTTAGCTCAAAACAGCAACACAAATAATATATTCAACTTTAAAATATTATGAACAATATTTATTGACAAATAAAATTATATAAGAGCGGCTGATAGCCGAATGGGTTATGACAACAGCTTGACAAGCTTGACAAGTGACAGACCTGAGTTCAATCCCCGGCAGGGTCAAAACTTTTTTTAAATTTAAATCTACTAATTTGACTATTTCATTCAGTAGAAATTGACTAATTTTTAGTGACGGCTTTTTCGCTATGACAATTAGTCAAATATGACTTATAATTAGTTATTTTTGACTAAGTCATTTTAAGAGAGTACCAAATGTAATAGTCAAATTATTAAATTTAAATTTTAAAAATATTTGATCCAGCCGGATTTTGAACTTGGGTCTGCCGCTTGTCAAGTGGATGTTTAACCAAAGCGCCACTGCTACATTTATAAAAATCAGTAATATCTGTCTATAAGTATTGTTAATATTATTTTAAAGTTAAATATTTTTTTTAAGTTGCTTTTTGCATCTTTGTTTTTATGGGCGATTTAACCATGGAGCCTACATGCATTTAACGCTAACAATAATTTGTTGTTGACTGCAAGAATTAAAAACGATTAAAGAAATTAGTTACTTTTTACTCTTACAAACAGTCAAAGATGGTGATTTATCTTAAATTAGTCAAACTTGAACTATTTAAGTAGTAAAAAATAACTATTTAAAAGTGAAAACCACTATTTTATTAGTAAACAATGCTGGTACTAATTCAAATAGTAGGTATAATTTGGACTATTTCATTTTAAGAGAGTAGATAAGCGAGTAAATACGCGAATTTGGCAACTTATATATTATTTAATGTTAGAAATTCGACAAAACCAACTATGAAACATAAGCATAAATTAAGACGAGGGATCCTAGACGTCACTTAGTCTAGTGTACTCTCCATAATAAAAGTTTTCAACAGTAAAAAATCCCCTTCTGTTTCATAATTTTTTAAGCACTTAAAAGCTAAATTATCAACTCACCCTATTAATCATTTTTAGATTCACTACAGTGTATAAAAACATAAAAAAATTTAAACATGACATTATTAATTTTGGTTGCAATACTGACAAAATGCCAAAGCAACCCTAAGGTATTTACGGATTTTTGCTGTGTAAATTACTCAAATTCGAATAAAAGTGAATAGTTAAAAACTGGCATGCACAAATTTAAAAAATGGCAGGACAAATGCGCACAGTACGATAAATTAAAAATATGCTAAAAAAATTTGCACAAGAGTTCAAAATTCAGAAATGGTGCAAAATATTCGCACAGTACCATAAATTAAAAAAATGGTGGGACAAATCCGCAATGTAGCATAAATTAAAAAAACTAGCCAATATGTTTACACATCCTTCGTAAGTACAATGTCACTTATATTATTATAATTAAAATAAGCTTTTTAGGAAATATTTTTAATAGATTAGTTTAATTTACTGAAAAAAAACTTTCTTAATTTAAGTGTAAAATGATTCCTGTATGAAATTTAAACTTTTAAACGAATGAGAAAAACTAAAAAGATAAAAATGTAGTTAGTAGAACAATTAATCTAATTTAGTTATTTTTGACCAGCAAGTTTGACCAG